CTCCCCTAGGGCCATCAGGGGTGTGATGGGAGATCCTCTGGAGGGCTCTTCTAGAGATTTCCTCATTCCTCATTCCTCATACCTCACTGGCTCCCTATGCAGAGCTTCCTGACATTGAGGAGATGGAGGATGATTATGAGGAATTGCAGAATTTAACCCCTAACATTCAAAGATTAATTGCTTCTGCAATATCCCATGGGATTTCCTCTGGCATGAAATCACAAGCTAAAGAGTCCACAGGTTCCAAAAAAACAGTTAAGAACCGACTGGTTGGTGTGGACAAGGGATCCAAAGCGGTTCATGTTAACAAGGAGGCCGAGGCTCCAGGTTTGCCAGTGAGGGGTCATTTACTGGGGAGGAGTCCGTGCATGAGCTGGCAATGTCTGATGATGAGGAATCAGCAAAGTAGGACACTCCTACTTTTGCCGGACTTTTCCAACCTTCTCTATTCAAACAGTTGCTAACCAAGGCGAAATGTACAACTAAATTGGGGGCCAGCACTGCTGCGGCCATCCAAATTCCCGTAAGGACCTAACGCAAACTATGTTTGCCAAGGCAGCATTAGATAAAGAAGAGGTGCCTGCCCTATCTCTATTTCTAGAAGTGGTCAAGAGTCAGTGGGGCCAACCTGGCATTTTCCCAAACCCTAGGGTAAATGACAGGAAGCTTTACAATATGGAGCAAACCTTCTCTCAGGCCCTCCAGGTGCCTGCGGTTGACACCCCTGATGCCGCTCTGTCTTCTTCAGCAGTCGTAGTTGCGAGAGATGAGGCAGACAAGCTGAAGCCTGAGGATAAGAAAGCAGAACTTATCCTTAGAAAGGGTTTTCAGGCTTCAACTTGGGCCATTAAGGCAGTAGCTGCTGCTTCCTTTTTCAATAGAACAACTCTATTGTGGCTACAACAATTGTAAGAATGCACACCCCCAGAGGACGCCTGCACAATGAAAGATCGTTGCAGTGACCCAATATTCCGCTGATGCCACTCTTGATTCAGTTAAATTTGCCTCTCGAGCTTTGTCTGCCTCTGTAGCCTCAAGACACCTCCTGTGGTTAAAGAACTGGCAGGTTGATAAAAAGTTGATAATAAGGAGGGTGGAGAGCAATCCTGGATCTGAAACATCTGAACAGATTCATTGTATACCACTGGTTTAAAATGGTGTCATTGGCCTCCATATTACAGGGTGTTAGAAAGGGTGACTTTATGGCCTCCATAGATCTCACCAAAGCATACTTACATATCCCTATCTTACCTTCCCACCAATATCTTAGGTTCGCTAAAGAGGGAGTTCATTATCAGTATAGGGCGCTACTCTTTGGTCTGGCTTCAGCCCCGAGGACTTTCACCATGTCATGGCGGCTGTCGCAGCTTTCCTTAGGTCCATACCTGTGCGATTACAACTTTACCTTGATGATGTCTTGGCTCAGGCTCATACTTATGAGCAGACCGTGCGGGACGTCCAACTCACCATCAAGACCCTCCAATGGATCGGATTCTCTGTTAATTTTGATAAAAGTTCTCTAACTCCCACCATGAGGTTGCTGCACCTGGGAGCAGTAATTAACTCCAAGGCAGGGATGGTCTTCCTGTCCCAAGAATGTAAATCCAAATTGCAACAATTAGTTCTGGAAACCCGGGTCAAGAGGGTGGTCCCGATAATGGATTTCTCATGTCTTTTGGGGACAATGATCTCTTGCAGAGGGATAGCTCCCTAGGCGCGTTTTCACGCAAGGACATTACAGTGGGCCTTGATCCCATATTAGAGAGAAATGATGAGCAACTCACCTTTGGCCATTCCAGTGTCTCCACAGGTCCACATGTCGCTCCGACGGTGGTTGTCAGCGGCACGCAACTGGGGGTTGCAGTTCAGAGAGTCACAGAGAGTAACCGTGACTACAGATGCAAGTTTCTTCGGCTGGGGAGCACTGATGGGATCAAAGATGACGCAAGGCCATTGGAGAAAGACAGATTTGCATCACAACATCAACTATCTAGAGCTCAAGGCGGGGCGTCTCGCTCTCTGGCATTTCCAGCACGACTTGCATCACAAACACGTGTTACTTCTCACCGACAACATCGCCATGAATGTACATGTGAACAGGCAAAGTGGGACTCATTCCAGGGCTCTGTGGACAGAGGCACACAGACTGATCTCGTGGGCGGAGGCTCATGTGATATCGATAGTAGCGGATCACATTTCTGGGATTGCCAATCACCAGGCGGACTGGGTCAGTTGAGCCACAGTAGATCACGGGGAGTGCCAGCTTCACCCAGACATATTTTAGCGTATTTGCCACAGATTCAGGACTCCAGTTGTCAATCTGTTTGCAACTCCGGCGAACTCTCAACTGCTGAGATTTGTGACCAGATATTGTACTCAAGGAGCCAAGGACATGGATGCGCTGAGATGCCGATGGCCATCAGGCCTTCTCTACACCTTCCCTCCCCTTCCCCTTCTTCCAGGGACTATCAAGAATATAGTGTCAGAGGGGGCGGAGATAATTCTATTAGCGCCGGACTGGCCCAGGAGGCCATGGTATGCGGACTTGGTCCAACTGGAGAATTCTCAGGGAGGAGACTTGCTTGTGCCAGGGAGTGTTAATTCATCCAGAGCCTCAATGGCTCAAATTAACCGCCTAGCACTTGAAAGGGACATTTTGAGTAGGGCACAAGTGTCTGTTAAGGTTATTTCCACCTTAGACGCAGCCAGGCGACCTTCAACCACTAGAATAAATAATGCTACATGGTCGGCGTCTATTAGAGCAGAGGACACGTCGGTGCCTCACATTTTAGACTTCTTACAAGATGGGTCAGACAAGGGTCTAGCATACAACACCTTACGTCGTCAAATGGCGGCGCTTTCCACCATTTTGCTAGGCGAAGGTCAGGTTCCCCTATTTCATCTTCCTTTAATTAGGAGGTTCTTAAGAGGGGCTGCCAATATTGCCCCTCCGGTGGTACATAGATTCCCTACGTGAGACTTACAGGCTATGACAGAACCTCCTTTTGAGCCGATTCACTCGGTATCTCTTCAACTTCTAACTCTGAAAGTAACTTTTTAAATTGCTATAACTTTGGCTAGACACATCTCAGAGATTGGGGCTCTGTCTTCACATAACGATCTATGCACTTTAAACCAGGATAGGGTAACCTTAAGGTTGGACTCTGCCTTTCTGCCAAAACTTAATACTCCTTTTCATAGGGCACAAGAGATAGTGTTGCCCAATTTTTGTCCGGCTCTGTCTCACTCTAGGGAGTGATTCTGGCACAGAGAATTTATCTCAAGCGAACGGCCTCGTTCCGTAAATCAGAGGCTCTTTTGGTGTCCTTCCAATCGTCCATGCAAGGTGCAAGGGTGACATCTAACATGATAGGTAGGTGGTTGAGGAAAGCGATTTCCTTGGCCTATGAAACTAAAGGCAAGAGTCCCCCTCAGGGAATCACTGCGCATTCTACTCGCCGTGCGGCCACCACGGCGGCATGGGCGACTAGAGCGCCATTTGAGGATATCTGTAGGGCAGCTTCTTGGGCGACCCCTACTTCATTTATTTGACACTATAGATTGGACGCTTACGTGTCAGCTGATGCATCTTTCGGCCGTAGAGTGTTGGAGCAAGTAGTGGCTCCATCAGCCGTTACCGATTTATAATTTTTCCCTCCCTATGGACGCTAGCTTGTGTATGTCCCACTGGTAGCACTTCCCTCTGCTCATCATTGAGAACGATTGTTGGTTCTTACCTGAAAGTCGATTCTAATGATGACAGAGGGAGGGGCTACCTTCCCAGCCTAGTAGGATAGCGGCTTGGGGGGAGGAGTTGTTTGTTCCTTGTTGTGACATTTGATTCACAGGTTTACTCCCTACGACCTCGAGGAAACTGGACAGAAGGAGTAGAGGCGTGGCTGCAACAATTTTCTCTCAGTCGATGGACCAATTAAGATTGATGATAGCCCACTGGTAGCACCTCCCTCTCTCATCATTAGAATCGATGTCCAGGTAAGTACCAATGATCGATCTCCTTTGCTGGATGTGTTCAAGGAGAGGCTGGGCCGGGGTTGGACTCAATTCCTTAAATGACATTTTCTAATTCTATGATTTTTGTAAACACAAGTAAGTGTTTTCTCCCATTCTAATTCTCTTATACGAGTTTGTTAATTTTAACAGTGTTCCTATTTGGCAGTAATAGTTATTAATATCATTCTGGCAGAAGTAACAATACAGCCCCTAGACTAGTTTGCATCAGCATTTGCACCTGAAGCCAATGGTCTTATTGCTAAGCATATTAAGTTTCTATTTAACAGGTGGTATTTTCATATTAAAATACACATTGTGTAATTTAGGCTGGTGGCAGAAGAGTGATCAAGAACACTTGATGCTTATCTGGAGTATAAAATTTTCAAATTGGCAATTAAGAAGTATTCATAACAAACAACAAACAAAAAATCCAAATCAGGATTCTGCCTTGATGAAAAGAAAATATCTTTGTTGAGTTGAGTTTAAGCATTTTGCCTTGATGAACCAAAAATCTCTGCCAAATCAAGGTTCAGATGATTTGGGGAGTTGCTAAAAATACGTTTAAGCCATTGTAAACTCACAACATAAGAATACAACTTGTATTGACAATTTCCGCATTTGGTTGAATTCGCTTCTTATGCGCAAACCATTCCAAGAACTCCTTTGGAAGGTATTGTAAATATTGTTACACTATATTAAATGTGTAATTGCTTTTTACAATAAATATGTTTAGGGAGTTCTGTACATGTGTAGATGTGAGGAGATCTAAGTTGACACACATGACACAATACTAGTTTAAAAAGAAAACTGGTATTTAAACAGTCGTCCATTGAACTGATTCCATTCATACCTCCATTCTTTCAGCAACTGTTAGAAATTGCAATGGTTCTGAACAAGGATTTATCGGACCCGTACCTGAAGTTGGCAGGTGCTGCACTACCCCTGCAGTTACGTGAACAAAATTCAGGTACTTGGCAATCTGCCTGCATTTATGACTGACTGCAGGGATATACTGCAGTGGCCCTACTCCCATCCCACTCTGCTGAATCCTTTGGGCTCATCTTCTACCCAGCTGGGTTCCCACAGGTCTTGGGCCTGCTTCCTGCCCCACTGGGTTCCACATCTCCTCCCCCCACCCTCTTCACTTAGCTTTTCTGAAGATCACTTTTGGAAAGGAGAACTGATTGATTTGCATAAAGCCTTCATATCCAGAGGGGCATGGTGACATTTTGGAAGTAGATGCCATTTGGGGAGTGGTAGAGGTCTCTTCATGACATCCTAGACTGGACTGACCACAAAAGCAATCTGCACAACTGTTAGCTTTCTGCCTTTTTGTCCCTGCATGGAATTAAATTTAGCAGTTATTTTTAAATACAAAAAATATCAATTTAATGAAAATATGCAAGGATATGTAAAGAATAAAAAATATCTACTTTGTTTGATATCCAGTTCATAGATTGCATAACTATTTAATCTAATAAATTTGCTTTTGTCACTAAAAGTATTAGTCAGTTCATAATGAAGCTAATTCTCAAATTAATTTTATAATTTAATTGCTTTCTGCTTCACATGGACATATAGCAGGCCCAACAATGCATATAATGAGTAACAATTGCCTAAGTTAAAGTGAAATATCATAATAGCTAAATCTATTATAATCATAAAAACACAATAATAATAAATCTAAACAAGTACAAAGCTAAAATGAGCCCCAATGAAATTTCTGTGATAAGCAAATATTAACATTACTCCATCATGTTTAATATGACACTTTTTCTATATAAAGCCTGCTATATACATGTCAGTGTAAGTCAATGTATCTTTAACAATAATGGAAGTAGTTGTTTATAGGCAAAAGTGAAAGTAGATTGTTTATGGTCATGTCTAGCATTGGTGCATGCAGATATATACTTTTTCCTGTAGTAGAACCAGAAACGAATATCTTTCTTCACCCTAGTACCGAATGAATAAAAATGAATGCAACTGAAGAAGATGTATTATTTGGATCTTTTGTTAAATTCAAAAGCTTTTCTAACACCCTACAGTAACTGGGATCCTACACCATTTTTGGACCAAATTCTTATACTAAATTGCATTAGCTCTGCCAAGATAATCATTATTATTCATGTTGTTATTGGAAAACATTTAATTTAAGCCTTCACAAATATCTCCCAAGTGTCTCATAATATGAGCAATGTTAAAACATTTGGCAAAGTTCTTTGTTTTGCAAAATGTTGATGGGACTGAGAAAAAGGGGCAGAATTATTCTCAATAGTCTTCAAAGATAATGGAAGCCCAGAAAAAATGTTTTGGTATACAATCCAAATGAATATACACTATATTGCCAAAAGTATTTGCTCACCTATCCAAATAATCAGAAGCAGTTGTGAGTGAATACTTTTGGCAATATAGTGTACATAAAAAATAACAGTGAGCAACGCCAACACCCTATTGATGGAGGGGGTTAGACCAAATGCACCAATGAACAATGGTGCATTTGATCTAACAATGAACTGAAGGCACGATAAAGCTTTACTCCAGAAGGGTTTTTTTTATATAAAGCTCTAGCTGTCAAAAAATGGTCATCATTTGAGAATTAGTGTAACCTACTTAAAGATGAAATTATTTTCAAATTTTTATTTAGCATTATAGCACCATAAAGTTGAAAAATGCTATTTAGATATCAAATCCATCACCTTGTTCACTGTGGGCATCCAGATTAAAGCATCTCCAACATACAGTTTTCCAATCCTTATATGAAAACATATAAGAGAGCCAAACAATTTCTGATTGGTTCTAGTGCCCAACTGCCATTTGCCTTGTACTTTTCCTAAAAATTGATCAAAATTTATCTTGTTATAACTTAAATTCATTATTTCTTGTCCTTTATTTCTTCAGAAACAAAAGAGAAAAATCTTGATTTTCTTGTATGTGACTTCCTGTCAGATACCAGTATTTTCTATGTTTATCTAGTTTTATATCATGGCCCATATGGCACCATTTAGATGCAACTAGATCAAAAATTACTGCCCTTGATAGATTTAAAAACAGGAAGAAAGAATGTTAAAACAAGGTCTATGTAGACCTATGAACCAGAAACACTATGCTAGGAAAACACCAATTACTGTTGCTTGAAATAAAACATTGATTCTGTTAACTACTAAAAGTAAAGAAAAGCAAAATTCTAGATATTGATATATGCATGTTCACATTACCATTGACTAAACAGTCCAGAGGTTACACACCAGAAAATATCTATGGAAATTCTCAGTGATCCAGGTCATGATTGTCCTAAAAGTGCTTTTTCAAAAGGCAACTGGACTTTTTTTGTTTTTCCTTGAAGACATTTCGCTTCTCATTCAACAAGCTTCTTCAGTTCTTCAGAAGCAAAACGTCTTCAAGGAAAAACAAAGTCTAGTTGCCTCTTGAAAAAGCATCTTTGGAACAGACCAGAAAAGTTAAGGTGTTAATCCCATTCCAATTTTACTTAGGCATCCAGTAATGTAATGGTACTACATAAGTTGGAAATGCCATTTGAGATTGTGGTTGGACTGAAATATGCTTTGACAAAAACATGTAGAAAGCATTCCATTGAAATGACTGGTTGTCATGCTAATCATTGGCATGGTACTTGACTGCCCATCTGTTCTTCTCTGGAATCTTCATCTGTCAAATAAAAAATAATAATCCTTTTCTTTGTTTCATAGGATAACTATTTAGAAATGAGCATTGGACAATGGATACATGGCATTTTGGGGAGCTTTACAAAAATGTTGGGTTTTATATCTTACATACTACAGTGTTTCCCAAAAAATAAGACAGGGTCTTATTTTCTTTTTACACACAAAATATGGCTTGGGCCTTATTATGAGGTGAGAGTTTATTGTTTTGTGGTTGCCGGGTGGCTGCTCTCTTGCGAGTGGGCTCCCAAAGAACCGGGCACAACTCCATGGGTGAATGGCTGTGTTGCGCTTCGCAGCAGCGCAGCACAACAGCCATGAAGCGACCACACTCACGAGCAGCCACCCGTCAAACCCCCTTTCCAGCCGGGCACAGCACCATTCACTGACCTAGGAGTATCGCCAAGCTGCGTGAGCACCTGTTCACTGCAGCCCGGTTCCCCCATGCAGAGCACCATTCCAGTGAATGGTGCTCTGCATGGCTGGAGTGGGGGGTTGTGCAAGTGGCTGTTCTGCTTTCGCTCACGCGCTTCCCAGCCTCCGGATGCCCTGGCCCAGCTTTCCCTGCAGAGCCAGGGCACCGCTGCCACCACCATTGTCATCCCAGCATGGCTATTTCGGCGGCTTCCAAACCGAGTCTTCTGGCACTGGCAACAGCCAGCCCACAACCATAGAGCATACGCCCAGAGCGGCCATTGCCGAAAGACTCAGTTTGGAAGCTGCTGAAAAAGCCATGCTGGGATGGCAGTGGTGGAGGTGCCCTGGCTGTGCAGGGAGAGATGGGCCAGGCATCGTGAGTCTGGGAGGTTTGCAAGCAGGAGCGGAACAGCCACTCACGCAAGCCCCTTCTCCAGCGTGCAGAGCGCCATTCACTGGTATGTCGAAGGCGGCAAGCCACAAGAGCCGGGAAGCAGTGAACAGGTGCTCATGCGGTTTGTCGATACTCCTAGGTCAGTGAATGGCGCTGTGCCCGGTTGGAAAGGGGTTTTTCCGGGTGGCTGTTGTGCCCGGCTCTTTGGGAGTCCGCTCACAAGAGAGCAGCCGCCCGGCAACCCCCTCTTCAGCTGGGCACAGCACCACTCACCAACCTAGCGGTATCCCGAAGGCACCAAGCAACACGATCACCTTTGCCCCCTCCAGTTACTGCAGCTTGGCACCTTTGGGATACCACCAGGTTGGTGAGCGGCGCTCTGCCTGGTCGGAAGTGGGGGGGTTGTCCAGGGGGCTTATTTGCGGGGGAGGGCTTATATTTTTGCCCTCCAGAAAAATGTGGCATGGCCTTATTATCAGGACATGTCGTATTTTCGGGGAAACACTGTATATGTATATGTGATGCATGATAAGTGTATTACAGTATATTATATATAAAATAACCTACCAATATGTAACATAGGGAAGGGACATATAGAATTATTAATGTTAATAATGCAACCTTAATGTTTTTATTGTCGCTTGTTTAACATACTGTCCCAGGCTTGCAATTCTACACGTATATTATATTGTAAATGTTTAGTTCTCTTCTGTCATGTTCTCATAAAATGCTAAATAATAATTAATAATTAGCACTGTATAAAATATTAACATTTAATTCTTTGAATGAATATACTTCATGTTGCTGCAATGTATGGATATAATTTTACATAAAAATATTTGTAATAGGTATGTTATCCTCTGAAAATATGTCCCCGTACTTATCTGCTTTTGATTATGCTCAGAGTATACCGAAAAACTCCTGTACTAATTTTGTCCAAAACTGAAGCCACGTAGTTCTGACTGTCAGACATGAGTAGTTGCAGATGTCAGTGGCAAGGAGCCAGGAAGATGGATTAAGTCTTAGTCACTGAAAAATGCATGCCAGCACATCTGAGGCACCAACATTGCGCCACCTCATAAGGAAAATGTGTCATGACCAGAAATCGATAACCTCTTGGAGGCAATATATTTGATTAATTATACTGGCGCATGCTTGGCAGTGTAGCTTCATCTAGCATTAACTTAATACTGTTTGCATGAGGCAGTATTGTAACCACTTCATAGGTTTTATTGCATATATTGATAATTGCATGTTTTTTACTTATGAGCTACAATAGCATTCGTTTAACTTAAATTATAATAGCATAAAATGGTTGCTTTCTAGAATGAAGCTGCTGTAATAAAACAAGAACAAAAACATACTGTGAAACAAGTTCAGATTGAAGGAATAGTTAGTCTCACAATGGAACATCTGTCCATAGTGGACAGGCAGCTAGCAGGTAGCAAGGAGAAGCTACCTCCTGCTTGCATTTTCCATCAATTGGTAGTTATGCTGAAGTTAAGAGAACCACTGGAATAGCTCTTTATTAAGCACTGAACTTTTCATTTTTCATTCTTTTTTCACTGACATTTCTGTTTCATTTGATTGCTTATAAAATAAATGGTAGGCACTTTAGAAATTGAAACATGAAACACCTGATACTTTGGGTTACTTCTAGACATGTATCAAGTTGGGTGGAGATTGGATGGGAGTTGAACAAAGTGCGGCAATTTATAATATAATTTATCTTGATATCTGGAAGGCAGGAATTCTGGTTGACGACATTTGTTTATACTTCCTATTTAAACTTCTGTTAAGTATTGCAGCATACACCATTATAAAAGTCAAAACTTGGCTATTGTGGAGGATGTGCTATTTCTTAGACAAATGCTTGATCCTGGGGCAGGCAGTGGAAAGCATGAGGTTTGAGACGTTGCTGAACATTGACAACGGATGAGGGCAGGAATGTTTGTAGGAGGTGTCCAGAAAGTCAATATAGAATATGATTAAAAAGGGACTTGGATGTCTTCTAATTCAACCCTTTGCCCAAGCAGGAGACATTATACCATTTTGAACAAATAGTTGTCCAATCTCTTCTTGAAAATCTCCAGTGATGGAGCCACCTACACAACCCGTTCCATTAATTAATTGTTTTCACTAACAGGAAATTTCTCCCTAGTTATAGGTTGGATCTCTCTTTAATGATCTTTCATCCATTACTTTTTGTCCTGCCCTCAGGTGCTTTGGAATATAGGTTGATCCCCTCTTCTCAGACAGCCAGTGAAATATTGGAAGGCTGCTATCATGTCGCCCTTAAGCTTTCCCTATGATAGACTAGACATACTTAGTTCTCTTAACCTTTCATCATACGATTTAGCTTCCAGAACCCTTATCGTCTTTGTTGCTCTTCTCTGCTGCACTCTTTCTAGGACCTCAGCATCTTTTTCATATGGTGCCAGAAATCAGAACTGGACTCAGTATTCCAAGTGTAGCCTCACCAGTACAGTATAGAGGGGTATTATTACTTCTTGCAATCTTGATTTCTATCCCTTTGTTGATTCCCTCGTAGGACTTCATTGGCAATTTTAGGAGCTGCAGGACACCTCTGCCTCATACTTAAGTGATGGTCCATCAGTGTGATCAAAGTCCATTCTGAGGGAATGTATATTTAACAGAGGGAATGTATTTTTATTTAACAGAGTTCTCTTTCAGAGGTTTGTTTTAAGCAGACTACCTACTTTACAATGTGGAATTAGAATTTTGTACTGATAATTATATCTATTACAGAAAGACACAAACAGGATTTCTTCCTGCTGCTCATAATCAAACTTTCATATCTCACTCTGAAGCAGACTAACCTACAATTGGTCTGCTGTTGATAACTACAATATTAGGCCATCAGCTGATGGGAAAAGTCCATCAATGTAAGTATAGGAAGTGAAAGTACACGAATTGTGAACTGTTCATTCTCACTTTTGTCCTTAAACTATAAAACCACAAATATTGTCACTCATCATAGAGAAAACATTTTGATGTTTTTCTGCAACTTTTCTACCTCTACAAGTAACATTTTTCACACAATATTTCAAGTGTGCTCACACCATTATTATTTTAATTCCCTGTTAATCCTCAATGTGAAACTTGTAACTGTTCAACACTCCAGTTTATGTGTTTTTACTGAGCAATTGGGAGGGGAGGCAGGGTTGTCATAATACCCACTGCTTGCATATCGAAATATAAGTTAGGTTACAATGCCCAGTGTCAAGTTAATTTTATGAAGTTCTTTATTGCTTTTTGTTTGTTTGTTTTAAATATCCAATGCTTTATTGCTAATTCCAGTTCTATTTTAAGGGTATTAGAAAGCATCAGTTCCAAAACAGATTCTTGGGAGATTCTTTTTAACCTCAAATGTCACTTGTGAAAGCTCTCCATTGATGTTTACCACCTGCGTCTTGTTCTTTTTTAAAAAATCAGCTACCAATGAACCAGAGCAGGGGTCTCCAACCTTGGCAACTTTAAGACTTGTGGACTTCAACTCCCAGAATTCCTCAGCCAGCAAAGCTCTGGGAGTTGAAGTCCACAAGTCTTAAAATTGCCAAGATTGGAGACCCCTGAACCAGAGGCTTCTTTTCCTCTGATCCCATATATGCTTAATTTACTCAAATGTCTATATAAGATTCTTCTGCACTTGGAACAATTGTAGCCCTTTGTTTCTTGTTTACTATCTTTCCTTTCCAGTAAGTTTGTTTCTACTGTTACTTCCTACTGCAATTCTTGCAGCTGAATCTGTATTTATACTGATTTGTATTTGTTTGTCAACTGTGAGTCTAAACATCACTTAAAACTTCATGCTCCTGTATATAATAATTAACAAATCACATCATGAAACTTAACATTCTGTTTAGGCTCAGTCTTTACAAAAAAAAGTAGTGATTGTGAAGCAGTGTATATAAAATAGAAACATTGTTTGTTCTTCAGTTTATGTTAATGATTGCATTGTTACCACCAGCACTTTTAAGAGCTGGTGAACAATTCTATTATATTAAATAACAAGTTTTTATTTCTAAAAAGTCACCTAACTGCAGCCTATGGTTGCAGAAAGCTGGACATTGCGAAAGGGTAAGAAAAAGAAGATACAGTAATTAGTTTCAAGAAGGCCAAATGATTAGCATGTAAAAACTCATATAGAGAGTTTTTGGGAAAGTCGATGGAAATAGATAATGGAATAGAAGAATGCTTGGCAAGGTTGCAGGAAGATGAACAAGGGTAAACAATAGATAAAATGAATGGTGGGAACTAAAGGGGCCATTGGAATGGTCTTGAGAGAGCTAATGATTATTGCTAATTCAATAATTGCTTAATAAATAAATTTATAGAAAATTCATGAATTGTTTACTCCTATCTTGCTTTCATTGTAGCATACAACTGTTTTACCCTTTATATTAATTGAGATGCGAACGACCCATCATGAATATCCCAGCAGGACCTATGGACTGATTGCTGTGTGTACTTTTTCAGTTTGCTACATATTATGGTAAGGAATGCATTTTCACATTGTGAAATCTAATCATCGATATCTCAGTCTTGCCAAGCAGGATTTGATAAAAAGTTTCACACAGTGGTTTTTCTGATACTATATGGCTAATATTTTTAGGGACTTTCTCCCTGCCCCCTCCAATAAAACATTATTTAGGAATTTGTTCTATATCCTTCTCTTTTTCCAATCAACACATTTAAAAATAATTTTTCTATTTCTCACAAAAGTATTCAAGTAAAGATGGATGCAAGGATTTATGCAGAAGGGCACTTTACCTCAAAGCAATTGAAACATTGCCCAATTCAAGCTGGTATCTGAATTTGAAACAGAATTAAGAAACTCAAAGTTTTGATCTCCTGTATTGATTAAAATAGGAAAAGTACAAATTGTAACCTTTATAAGGCTTTTCAGAAGAAATGAAATAATCAGAGAATAGATGGGGGGAAAAAACTTCTAATTTTTAAATGAGAGTATTAAGAGTGTTGCATTTTTCATCTCTGACATAATTAGATGACATATGGAGGCAAAACTGTGCCTTCTGAGGAGATTTATTGGCCAGTTTCGAGCTAATAGATGCAAATTGGGGGATTGCAAAAGGGCATCTTCATGTCTTCACAGTTTGGCTGAGGAACTTTTTGTTAATTCTTTTTGTTGCTTAACTGCTGAGGTCTGTAAATGGTGGAAGGAAGGGAGGGGAGAAACAAACTTTCCTTGGAAGAAGGATTATCTATAGAATCAGGAAGAAGTATAAATAATATAAGATCATAATTTTGCCCCATTCTACCTAAAGCCAAATCAGTTCTGTAAGAAGTCTAATTGTTGTTGTTGCTGTTGTTAGTTGCGAAGTCATGTCCGACCCATCATGACCCCATGGACAACGTTCCTCCAGGCCTTCTTATCCTCTACCATCCTCTGGCGTCCATTTAAGCTCATGCCTACTGCTTTAGTGACTCCATCCAGCCACCTCATTCTCTGTCATCCCTTTCTTCTTTTGCCCTCAATCTTTCCCAGCATTAAGCTCTTCTCCAGTGAGTCCTTCCTTCTCATTAGGTGGCCAAAATATTTGAGTTCCATCTTCAGGATCTGGCCTTCTAAAGAGCAGTCAGGGTTGATCTCCTCTAGGACTGACCGGTGTGATCATCTTGCAGTTCAAGGGACTTGCAGGAGTTTTCTCCAGCGCCATAGTTCAAAGTCTAATATGCCCTCCTAGTTCCAGGGCTATAATCTTTACTTTCAGATTCTGAAACAATAATATTTCAGGATGTGGGTTTTGTTGCCACATTTTTGGGCCTTATTTGCCAAAAAGCTTTCTTTTTTAGGCCAAGACTATTTTCAGGGAATAATCCAGGTTTCTTGAATATCTGAAAACAATTTGCAGTGTTAGCATGTCTGTAAATGTTGTTAGTCTATAAGCAAACATTGAAATCGCTATGATTTCTAACTCTTTTACAAAGAAACAAGAATTTCATTTTGTGTTCCCATATTAAAAGTGAAATATGTGCATTTAAATTCTTTATTTTTCCTTTTTCCCCTTTGCTTACCTTGACTAGAAATTCAGACCATTTCTTTTTCCCCCCAGGCATATTCAGTATTAAATTGCCTGTTATTTTATAAGACCGGAAAATGGTAGGGACTCAACCAAATGGCTACAGCATGGGACTCTAAAATGAATTTTAATGCATGTTCCCTTCTGCTTATCTAATAATAAGCAGTACAACAATTGTACTGTTGAAGGCATTCATTAGAGTTAATAACAAATAATCTTGTATGGAAGCTTTATGCCTAAGGTTGATCAAGCCATTATTGTGTAGTATTGAGTTAGCATGCATTCAAGGAGGAAAGAACTCCACAACAGAGGCCATCAGGTAAATGTTTCCATGACAGCAGCACTACTTTTTGCAATTCCCTACATAGACATTGCAAGAATACTGCTAATGCCACTCTTCCAAAGAAGAGAAAGATAGCGAGACTAATTGTATACAGCAGATCTTAGCTAACTGGCTAATCATAGATAGTTCTGTCTTTATATTTGATGTAGAATTTAAATCAATTATTTTTTCATTGTTAATATGATCTTTCACTTATTTGTAATGTTGCTTTGAGGGCAAAAGTGACAATTTATTCAAAGTCATAGATTACAGGGTTCAAAGACTCTAGGATTAATCCTGTACTGCTTCCAGCTGGAAATCTATTCCAAATTCGGCTGAGAAATTGTTCATACAGACAATGTTAATTGGAAAATAAGATTACTATATCTTAAAGAAGTGTTCCAACAATGAATTTGACCCCCCATTATCCTTCATCCCTTCAAAATGACTGCTATTAATCAGAATATTCACATACAAAGCTTCTGCAGTAAAACTTAACAAATTGGTAAGTATCAATTTCTGCTATTTGAATTAGAACATCTAAGAGAAAAGATGTGATTTCTCTTGATAACAGCACAATTAAAGGGGTGAGAAATTTTCTACTGATTTCAATAATGCTTTTTCAAAAATATGCTTAGCAAATCTATCTTGATTTATTAGGGAGTAATGAAGCAGATGGAAACATTTAAAGAGTTTTTCATACAAAGCATTTTGGGACACACTGCACTTATTCCCCCCACCCCCAAGCCCAATATTTAAGGAATATAGTTTCACTTTAAATTTGGTCAGGCTAACTGTTCACTTATATCTGTATTGTCTAATCCAAAAGTTGTGAATGTGCAATTCCAAACTTGTTTTTTAAACAACAGAGCTACCCTGACCAATTGCAAACTGATGTGTAGTCTAAACTACAATAAAAATAGGTCACTCTATGCAGGTTCGGGCTGGTTTCCTGGTTTATTTTCTCATTATGAACTTTTTGTAAACTGATTCTGTTACACAAAAGAGAGGATCAGGCAGGGGGGAAAAAGACAAAAGGTTATGGGTGGTGGTGCAGTTGTTTCAGGATAACTCTGCCCACAGCCAGGAGTTTGATCCTAACTGGCTGAAGGTTGACTCAACCTTTCATCTTTCCGAGGTCAGTAAAATGAAGATCCAGATTGTTGGGGGCAATATAATGACAGTGTAAACTGCTCAGAGAGTGCTGTAAAGCATTATGGAGCAGTATATAAGTCTAAGTGTTATTCCTAGTTTTTTTCTGTATGCAGCAGCTGCCAAAAAAGCCAACATAGTTCTAGGCTACATAAACAGAGGGATAGAATCAAGATCACATGAAGTGTTAATACCACTTTATAATTCCTTGGTAAGGCCACACTTGGAATACTGCATTCAGTTTTGGTCAACACGATGTAGAAAAGATGTGGAGACTCTAGAAGGGGTGCAAAGAAGAGAAACAAAGATGATTAGGGGACTGGAGACTAAAACATGAAGAACGGTTGCAGGAACTGGGTATGTTTAGTTTAATGAAAAGAAGGACTAGGGGAGACATGATAGCAGTGTTCCAATATCTCAGGGGGTGCCACAAAGAAGAGGGAGTCAAACTATTCTCCAAGGCACCTGAGTGTAGAACAAGAAGCAATGGGTGGAAACTAATCAAGAAGAGAAGCAACTTAGAACTGAGGAGAAATTTCCTGACAGTTAGAACAATTAATCAGTGGAACAGCTTGTCTCCAGAAGTTGTGACTGCTACAACATTGGAAGTCTTTAAGAAGATGTTGGTATAGGGTTTCCTGCCTAGGTAGGGCTTTGGACTAGAAGACCTCCCAAGGTCCCTCCAATTCTGCTATTGTAAAGATTGTATAGAATCTACTATATCTATCTATCATCTATCTATCTATCTATCTATCTATCTATCTATCTATCTATCTATCTATCTATCTATCTATCTATCTATCTTGTTTTAGTTGCTTGAGCTTTCATTATGGCTTCCTAACTTTTTTCAGGAAAGAAGTAAAGATTGCTTATTGAAATTTTAATGAGCTTATGTAAATAGTTTCAGTCCTTCCTGTTGAATGAAGCATGGACAGAAAGAAACCGAGACCACCGATCTGTGCAGTGCTTTGGCTTCAAAGGCAAAAATAGGTTTTGGAGCCTGAGGGAAGTCACACATAATGCTTGCAATCTCTGAAATCAGATAGCTTTTCTCAGAGCTCAGTGCTGAGAAAAAAAATGCAGCTGCTTTATGGAATTACAGACAGGTGTTACACAAGCACCCACACACACATTTTGGGCTTCAAATTTGAACATATCAGTGTTGCTGATGCTTGATATAGACAAAAACTTTGAAAACGCAGTCAGCCTTACCAGATTATCAAGAACCAACTCCCCGGGAAGGCTAAAACTACTTTTATTGAGATTGGCTATAAACAGAATTTTTGAATCTAATTGTGCTGTTTCTCTTCCTCTTTTTATACTGCAGTGTATTAGAGAGGTGTCTGGGCCATATATTTTGATTGTGTACTTAACTTATGTTCTTCTCCTTGCTGTTTTGGTAATGAATCAGACTTATATCTGTTGAAATTATCTTCCTTGCTTTCTACAGATATCTCAGTTTTTGTTGCCTTTTATTGTAAGTAATGTTAAATATGTTATTTGGAAATCAAATAGTATCACAGTTGATGCATAGAGTGAGTTAGGTCTATAGGTCCTTCTGTGAATGGAAAGAACCGTTGTTCCTACTTGTGATAGGAGCTGTGAAGGCTGTAATTCTATACTAATTTAATTGGGAATAAACCCCATTGTGTGGATTGTTTCTGAGCAAGCATGCATTGGATTGAGCCCTTAGGAAAACAAGTGAATTATTTATTGTGTTTTTAACTGAATACTTCATTATTAATAGTATTTCTGTATGTGTTTTTTCTTAGGGTCTGTTGGATATATCATGTGACTGGGGTTTGGGTATATCCTCTCCTGGATTTCCTTGGTTCAACTGCTAAAATTATCTTCTTTGCCACTGTAACGGTAGTAATAAACATCTTTTACTTGCTGGGTGAAATACTAAACAACTGCATATGGGATACACAAAAATGTGAGTATCGGATTGAGAAACTTTTTTGAATACAAAATCATACTTTAGTTACTTTTATTATATGTCATACTTTTAATATTGAAATAGTTTTACAAAGTAATTCCATTATTTCTTTAAATGTAAATATGATCATTATTTCACATATTATTACAAACATGATTGGACAGAAAATGAGGTAATTAATGCTAGCTTGTAGCTAAAAACATCTGCCTGATTAGCTTTTTTTGTTGATTTCTTATCTGATTCTGGCTGTATTCATAGAAATACTAAATCTAAATTATTGAATTAACCTTTTTGCTGGGTTTGATCAATACTCAACCAGATCCCCTGGATTTATATAATATAACAAAGTCATGCTCACCCCACCCCATCCATAAAATAAAATAGGAGTAGGATGTATGAAGTCATTTAAGCATGTTCTGAAGATTTCAAAAGCAAATATAAACATTGGTTTATTTTGGTTGATTGTAATTATAAAAGAGGTAGTAACATCTCTCAGTAGGTGGCAGAATCTTTCTGGGCTTAAGAAGGTAAACATGATTGATAGAAAACTTCCATGAAGTAGCAGGGAATAATTTGTCTAAGTATGCAAGAGGAAGAGAAGAGCAAACAACATTGCTATTGTTGCAAATAAAACTACATGAATGTGCTCATGAATACACTCAGTTAAGCAGTATTCTAATTGCATCAGTGAAAAGACTGCTTAACTGTATTAACTTTGTATTAACTGTGTTAACTTTGGGGACTGATGTAAAATATTTGGAAAATATTCATCAATATCTTCTTGCAGATCACACAGAAGAGGGTTCAGAAATATACATGTCAGATAGTGTTTTAAATAGTGTGCAGTTCCTAACTTATCTTAAAATAATGTACATGCCAGATGTAGGAAACAAGATGACAAAAATAAGAATTCCACAAATGGAAATTCTTAATCTGAACCTTTTTTTAAAAAAAAAAAAGTTATGTTTAAATACCAGAACAGAATAAATTACAGTTGATTTCTCTAAAATAAACCACTAACGTGAGCAAAATAAAAAATAAAATTGTCTTATTCTCCAGGCCAGATTTGATTCACAAGCCTGGATGCTAGGATTTTGAACACTGGATCCATCAGCAATGAAATATTTTTCAACAAAGCTTAGATGACCGTTTTATAAAAAGCAAATAAAATTGTGGATATTTAAACCACTCGGTGGAAAATATTCTTCCAGCAGCAAAGGAAACAGAAGACTAGAAATTGGCACAACCGTAGTAGCCAAATCTAAACTGTGTTCTTAGAGCCATGCTGTTGTTTGTTTTCTTAAACCTTTGACTGCAATTTGATTGTTTTGAGTTTGTCAACAATACGCAGCTCACTGTATTTAAACTATTGGTTTTAACCAACCTCAATTGTTTTCTTATTATGTATTTCATTACTATCAGATTCCCTTGCATGCCTGCTATAATCAAAACCAGAATATGAACATCTTTAAAAAGAGTCCATAGTTACTTAGAATTTTAAGGTAGCCAGCTTTCCACACCTAGCAATTAAAAGGGTAAAGAAATGGTCACATTTCCTTGCATATTATGGTATAACAATGGCAGCCTCCAGATCAGTGGTTCAACCTGTGTTTTGGGACCCCTTTGAGGGTCGAACAACCCTTTCACAGGGGTCGCCTAAGACCATGAAAAAACACATATTTTCGATGGTCTTAGGAATTTTATGGTTGGGGGTCACCACAACATGTGGAACTGCATTAAAGGGTTGCGGCATTGGGAAGGTTGAGAACCACTGCTCTAGATGATCATTTTTATAATTATTGGGATTTTTCAACTCAATAAAATTACACAAAAAAAATAAAAAGAAAGAATCGCAGTATTAAAATGAATTAGGCTTAATACTATAGCTGTATTTCCATACATATTTATTTCTGAGAAAGCCTCCTGAATAAACATTTTAGAGTTAGCAAGAAGCCTTGATATGGAGAACTATTCGGATCAAGGAACTATTTGATGGATGTTTACTTGCAGATAAAAGTATATTGTAATATTCTAACTTAAAAGAATAGCAGAAAATGTAACTTAACTTTTGTTAATGATAATAATGTACATAGTAAAATATAAAGATATAATTTTATAAGATATAAGAACGTTCCTTTTTTTACTTTTTAGAAAAATACATTGTTAATTTTTAAAATATGAATAAAATATAGCTTTATCACAAACAAACCATTCCAAGTCTTATCGTTGTACCTCAAAATGTTTCCAAGGGATGCAGGTTAATATATGAAATAAAATCAATAAAAATATTTGGTTGGAACTTTGTATTTTGTTAACATTCAAAAATCAGTGTCTTGGTAGGTACTTTTTCAGATCAACAATTTGATTTGATAAAGTGAGCTGTAAAAAACTTCTGCCTTTAATAAAATATGTTACTCTAAATGAACTATCAGACACCTCCTGATTTTTCTTTACCATAGACCAGAAGTGTCAAACTAAAGGCATGAATGCTCCCCCCCCCCAGCTCTGTTTTCAGTGCCAGAGGGTTGCAGGAGACTGTCACAGCTGAAAACAGAGCTTGCAAGGGCTACTCGTGGTCCTCCTGAGCTCCATTTTCACTGCCAGATGGTTGTAGGAGGCTGTGGCAGCCAGAAACATAGCTCAGGAGCCCATTTTCACTGGCAGACCACTCAGGCCACCACAAGTGCCCCCAACACAAGTGACATCAAAGTGGCTATGCCCACCCTAGCCACAGCCACCCAGGAACCCCAAGGTCAAACACAACCCCAATGCGGCCCTCAATGAAATTGAGTTTGACACCCCTGCGATAGACTAACATAGCTCTCCTCATCTATTGGGAAGACCAGTAAATTAAAACTATTTATGCAGAAGAAAAATAACAATATTCATTTTCTTGTTTACACAAGCATTTCACAAAAGCTGTTTTTGTTGTTGTTGTGATCAGGTATAGAAGAAGGAAAAGGAAAACCTAAATCAGACTGAACACAGGATAAAAGAAGAAAATAGAAGACCTGCTGTTATATGAACGGCATCTCATAACATCAAAAGAAATTTCAGAGGCTATTTATGTTAACAGTACATTCAAAATACTTTGTTTTTTTAAACGGGATGTTAATTTTATAATCTTGATAGCTGTGCTACAACATTTGGATAAATTGGGAAATGGTTATACCTCATATGCTGAATATGACATTATTTATACAGAAAGAGAAGGTGTGTGTGTATGTCTTTCGGGCAATTACATTAAGAATTAAGAAAGATCTATTTTGTCTTAGATTTGGAAACATTAGAAAAGTCAAATTTGAATCATTTGGGTTAATTCAAAAAGCTGCATCTGTGAAAGGATAGATAAGTCCCTTTGAGGAGTACGTCCAGTTCTTAGCGGACAAAGTTGCTCGGTTTCGGTCGGAGTTGGACTCCGATTCTGCAGATCCAGTCGAGGCCCAGGGGGATAACCTGGTTGGCCATCGCTGGGTTGA